TCGTGTGTGGGTGTGTGCTGTTGTGTGTGAGGGTGTGTTTGGTGTGTGTATGCACGCGTGTATATATGTGTGTGTGTGTGTGTGTGTGTGTGTGTGTGTGTGTGTGTGTGTGTGTATGGTGGCAGCAAGGTGGGGGTTGGTCAGGGAAGGTTCTGGAGGCAGGCAGTATATTATGACCTAAAAGCTGAGGGATAAGGTTCTGGATTCCCTGGGGAATGTGGGGGTTAGCAAATGAACCCCATAGTCTTGGAATTTAACTCCCCAAATTTCACCTCATTCTACAATGCTAAGTCATGATGTCTCTTTCTCCTCGAGGAAACCTTCCCCTTTACCCCTCCAAGTTCTCCTGTGCCCTGTTCTAACTGCCAAGCCTACTGGGAGCCCATCTATATGCCTGGGAGAGCAGAGACCCCATTAGCCTGGTATCCAGCATGAGACTAGAAAGAGAGCATGTGCTGGGGGGTTGAGCAAACTCCCTTCATTCAGTTTCCTCATTTGTAATGCTCAAGGATTGGGCTGGGGGGTGGAGGGGTGTCCAAGTTAGGATATGAAGTCAACAGCAGCTGTGCTATTGCCTCCTTGACTCCCTCCTGCCACAGACAGGCCTTCTAGTGGCAGGAATGTGCCAGATCCAGTTTGAGTCCTGGCCAGGTTGAGCAGCTAAGGAAGCCCCTCCCCACTGTGAGCCCAATCCCTTTCCTGGAGTGTGTGGGAAGCTATGGAAAGCTATGGGGGAGGGCTTTAGAAGTAAGGTAGGGAAGGTTCAGACACACCTTGATAGCTAGTGTAATGTCTGCATAGGCACAGAAGCCTCCACCACGGTCACTGGAGCAGTGGTGGAAGCCGCCACCTGCAGAAAGGCAGATGTAGTAATGGTCAGAGCCAGGTCCAGATGCCCTCTAATCCCTACCATGCCCATATCCCCTTCCTGCTAGGATTCCAGGTTGGCTAAGTGAACAGCACTCCTGGGCATGGTGTCACTCCAGACCAAGAGGTAGCTCCATGCCAAAGCCACCTCCCCCTATAGAAAGGGCCCCTCCCAGGGAAACCCAGCCATGTCAGCCAGCTGATCTGCCCTTGGGCTCTCACACTAGGAAGGGGAAGCACCAGCAAGCTTGCCTTGGACCTAGATTCTCCTGGTAGTAGACAGAGATTATTGGGAAGGATACTTTCTGCTGGCCATAGCTATCCATGCCACCCCCAACCCTAAGACAGTCTGGGAGTCCTTTTAGATCTGGACCAGAGAGACGCTGTTGCCAGTCTTCTGTTAAAATAGCTAGTAAGCTGCTACTGCCCCTGTATCCCTGGAGAACCTTCTGGAATGGAGATCCACCCCCAGCAGTGTGAGGTTGGGGCCATGCAGATGAAGGACTTGCCCCTTCCCCTGGGGACTCCTAACAGGTTTGTCTAGAGAGCTTGGTGAAGTTTTTAGCCCAGAAGAGAACTCCATCTTCACCAGTATCTTTTACAGATGAGCTGCCTCAGGCACAAAGAGGATCAACAACTTGCCCAGAGAATACAACTAGCAAATGGCAGTACCATCAGTGAAAGCCAGGCTTGATCAGGACCCAGATGCTCAACTTTAACCAGACCCTAGTTTCTATTGTAGAAGTGGTCCTCCATGAACTGGGAACCATGTTACAGACATGCAGGGCATGAATCATCCATGTTTTTGTGCAACTGGGTATCCTAACACCATGGCTATACCAGGCCTGATGATAGGTACAATTCAAACAAGAAAAAACATGGCCCGCGGCCAAGCAGAATTCATAAAAAAAAGGGCTCAGGGCCTTGCACAAGCCAGCACCTTCTCAGTATGTTCAGTTCCTCACAAGACGATGCAATAGCAAAGGAAAGGCTGCTGGGAAAAAGGTTCTTCAATTGTCAAGGGCTGTGAAGACAGATGTGCAAGGGTCACACAGAGCCCAGGGAGCTGGGGAGCACTAGCCCTCAGAACCCCTAAGATGGCACTGAGCCTGGGCCCATCTACTCATCATATGACTAAGCCCTACCCACTGGCCTAGACCCCAGAAGGATGGAGTCTTTCAGGACAGCTGAATGGAGGCAGCTAATTCCACATAGACATGCTCAGAAGACCTGCCCAGGGACCTTCCTAAGGGATGGCACAGGCTCTCTGGGTGGGAGAGGACTCCCTGTCATTGGAAATATGTAAATGTTGGGCAGGGGCCTTCTCAGGACAAATGTCCCACAGCATATAGAATCTGGTGGGGACTTCAAAGGGACAAAAATGCTGGATACTCACTTCTAGGCTACTGAACTGGCTCTGAGGGCTTTCCTGTCCCTCTGTCCCCACACTCTTTCCAGCTCCACCAGGCTAACCAGACACACTCTCTCAAGACCCAGTACTCACCAACATTGATGGCCCAGCCTCGTTCCACAGCCAGCTTCCCCGCCTTTGGAGACAAGCAGAGCATATGAGTTGAAGCCCCATCCTGGAGCAAGCACGCACTCACCCCATCAATATAGGCTCTGGAGCAAGCATGCACTCACCCCCTCAATATAAGCTCTGGGGCAAGCATGCACCCACCCCATCAATATAAGCTCTGGGGCAGAAGTAGGCCACACAGGTGGAATCAGGTGACACCCTTCCCATCCCTCAACAGACAAGCAGCAAATTTTGTCAGGCCAACAGGGGACAAGAACCAGACTGCCAGTATGTGGAAGTGTTCAGGGTGGCCTTCCTGATTTTACAAGGAAAACACCAGAAATTCAAGTTAAGTGATCTGAGGATTCCCATGTGGCCTTCAAATGCAAAAGAGACGGTTTGCTTGTGGAAATGTCATAGGCTGGTGGCCAAAATCCTGCAGGCATTCAGGGTGAGTGGCAATACAAAATTTGGCAGTGTCAGAGGGCAATGACCATGGCTGGGATAGACCTCATTGATTCAGACACAAAGTGTCCCTCAGCCAGCTCTCCAGCCTGTGACTAATGCTACTGTAGAATATACTTTTGTTGGGCTACAAACATAGTAACTCAAATCGTTATTAGGTAGGGTAGGACTCTACAGGGCAAAGTGAGGTGGGGGCTGGGAGCTGTACACCCCACCCAGCCTACCATGATGGTGCCTCCAGTCTGTGTCCGCAGGGGCCTCAGCACCTTCCTCTGCACAAGGAAGTTGGGGAGAAAGATGACTGGGGGTATCTCAGTGATGGTAGCCACCACGAAGGACCACTGTGGAAAGAGACATGGAAGTCAAACTTGGGGTCAGGCCTGGGCATGGTAGCTTCCTGCTCTGCATACTGTCTTTGTTGGGGAGTGACAGCTGTGAGCTACCTTGCACTCCAGGGTTTGAGCTTGGGCACAGTGAAGTTCTGAGGCACTCTTCTGACCTCTTGTGTCCAGAAAAGGGACTGCAGGTTGCTCTAAGATTATGCCTCCATGTGGCTCCTTGGCTCCCTACTGCCCAGCAAGTACCAGCAGAGCTTTGGCTCTGGTGCCAAGTACTTTCTAAGTACTTAGGGCCTGTGAGACACCCAGGTGGGCTTGGAGTCCTGTCTTGTGCTGGGGCACTTGTAGCCATGGCTAACAAACCAGCAGGTGCAATGATCCATCTTCACGGGAAGGAGAGGGTCTTGTGGAGAAGGCAACATCAACAAGAGTCCCCAGATGCAGGAATTAGGCCAAAGAGGAAATTTAGGGCAAAGGAGTGAGTCCAGGGATGGCAGAAGCTGGGCGCAGCAGGGCAGGTTAGATAAGCTTCTCCACTTGTTCAGTTCCTGGTCTCCAAACACAGGCTTACAGCATAGCAGAGACACAGAAAAACAAAAACCAGAACCAAAAATTAAGCCCACAGGGAGGCCCTGAGCTCCATATCCAGCTAATGGGAGCTACTTTGTTACTTTTCCTGCGCTTCCAAGGAAGAGACTCCAATCCTGCCTGGCATTGCAGAACCCTGATTTGATGTGTCTAGCACTCTCTGCGGCTCTGTGTTCTTTTACTCTTGTTGGAGACTTGATCCCTGAATGTCCAGGTACTGTGTAGACCAGGCTGGCCTCCAACTCAGAGAGATCCACCTGCTTTTGCCTCCTGAATGCTTCAGTTAAAGGCGCATGCCACTACACCCCGCTTGTTGTTGTTGTCATTACTATTATTATTTTATAGACAGTTGTTCCTTGCTTTCCCCAAGATCTACTGGGACTTTGGACCCATGTGTAAATGAAGTCATATTTACATGGAACCTGGGCACATTCTCGTGCATAAATCATGCCTAGATTGCCTATGATGCAGCCTCCGTGAAAATTTTAAGCCATGGTTTCGGGAGTAACACAAGTAATTTGTATGTTAAGGTGGATGTGATATTCTTTTTAGACTATTCTCCTTCTGGGGATGGTTGAACTTGACAGCAAAGGATCTGAATATATGGACTCTTGCCTGAGGTTATGAGTCAATTTTGAGTCAAAGCCAGTGTGGTCGTGCATGGCCACCATCCCAGGTTGGGGTGTGGAGGCAGAAGAATAAGGAGTCCAAGGCCAACCCTGGCTACACAAGACCCTGTCTCAAGCGAACAAAACAAAAATAAATATGCTTAACTAGAATCTCATGCCTCAGTTACTTCGTGCATATTTCAAATGCTGGCCAGCCACTGTGGCCAGTGATTGGATGGAGCAGAACTAGGATGCGCCCATCACAACAGCTCTATCAGGCAGCACTGCTTGCTCTGGGGAAAAAACAAACTGTGGGTGACTGAATAAAACATTGGTGCAGGGGTGAGGTGGCCTGGGGCTCTGGAAGATGAGGGAGAAAGGGGCTTGGTGGAGTGGGCTCTGGACCAGGGGGATGGTAGTTACAGTGATGGGGTGAGTGGATTTAGAGCCTAACAGTGACATTGACACAGGGCAGGATGAGCAGCCCAAGACAGAGCAACTGAGAAGGGCATTGGTGTGGAAGGGACAACATGGGACAAACATAATTATCTGGGATGTGCAGCAGGTTAATCAGGGGACAACTCAGATTTTTAGGTAGAACCCACCCAGAATGCCTTGTGACAAACCTGGTCAGGGCAAGGGCTTAGGGATGGCCATGCTGGACAGGGCTCTGAAGCCACTCTGGGCTCTACCTCAGCTGTATGGTTTGAGATGTCACCCTTTCCCTCTGTGCCTGCCTCCTGATCCCCCTGGAATGAGGGTGTAACTGTGGAACCCTGCTGCAGAGGCCTGTCCTCACCTCCACACAACACTGTCTATCCTAGCTGCCCAGAGGATATACTAGAGCTGCACACCACCGCCAACACATGTATCTGTGTCTATCCCCTTCAGAGGGGTACTAGTGCTGTAATGATATATTGTTTATGATTTAATAAAACTTGCCTGGGGATCAGAATGCAAAGCTAGTCACACTAGCTGGCCATAGAGGCCAGGCAGTGGTGGCATACATCTTTAATCTCAGGACTTAGGAGACAGAGGCAGATGAATCTCTGTGAGTCCAAGACCACCCTGGGCTAGAGTCTAAAAGAGTAACAGAGTTCACACCTTTAATCCCAGCACTAGAGAAGTATATAAAGAAGAAGCAAAGTGTCTCATGGGAGATTCAGTTCCCAGTCACAAGGAAGACAGGATCTCCATTTCAACCTTGATAGGGGTAAGAGCTACTGGCTGGCTGCTTTGCTTTCCTCCAGCTTGAACCCCTGCATCCGTCTCTGGGTTTTCATTATTCGTGTTACATATTGGTGCCTGGTTGCCCAAGCTTGTAAGTTCGGCTGCTCAGGGTTGAGCTCAAAGATCATGAGCTTGGACCAACCTTGTCTCAAAATTAAAAGGCCTTTTAAATTATTTTTTAAGGGAGGAGATTGATGATGTAGCTTAGTAATTAAGTGCTTACCTAGGTTTGCTCTTCAGTATGGAGAAGAGAAAATTAATAACTATGGAGAAAAAAAAAACCTAAACTCACAGGGACCCCTGGGCTCTGTTACATTTTTTCTTCCACTGACAATCGGGCCAATCCAATGATTTGTGCTGGGGTTGTAGACTCCCGATTTGATGTCTTCTTGAGCTCCCTCTGTTGCTTTATCTGTTATCAAAACTCATATTGCTATGCTATTTCGTGGTACAAAAGTGTAGTACACCCCAAATAACTGAGACTGGGTATTCAAACAAATACGTATGGGCATATCCATAGCAACACTACTGGCGATCACCAAAACGGAGAAATAACTCACACGTGCATAAGCAAATGGATGGGCAAACAAGATTCGATACACCATATGGTAGAGTATTATGTATCCAGGAAGAGGGATGTGTAGGGGGCGGCGCACAGCTTGGTGACAAAGTGCTTGCCCGCTTGCCTTGCATACTTGAGCTCTGAATCCCAGTCACTGGGGAGAAGAATGGATGACACCCGGTCAATGTGATGTGCAGTGAGGCAAGCCAGACACCAAAGCTCACACAGTGTGAGTCCATCTGTACAAAGTCGTGTACAAAGTATGCAAGTCGTTGGAAGCACGCTATGAGCGGTGACAGGGCAGAGGGCAGGGAGTACCAGGGAGCAAGCGCTCTGTAGGGTCAGGGTGTCCAGGAACAGCTGAGATCATGACATCACATGGTGGATGATGGAAATGCTGCTTTGAGACGGTGGGTTGTGTCATATGGAACTAACCACATTTTTATTTCTTTAAGAAAAGGAGAGATGGGTCTCTTGGGGAAGAATCGACAAAGTCAAAGACCCAGGCTCCCATCTCCCATAGCCTCTTCCATCTTCTACCCTCCAGGCGCCCTGAGGTCAGTCTCCCTCCCTCCCACAGTGCCTTTTCTCTTGCAGCTCCTGCTTAGACTGCCCTTCCCCCACTCTGGGCCCCACTAGCCTCACTGTACTCCTTACCCCACCCGGCTGTGCCCCTTTCCATGAACACTTGGCACCTATCAGCGGGTTATGTTTCTTCTCCACTCTCCATTGGAGAGGAACTTGGTCTCAGGTTCCATCCCTTCCCTGCAGGACCCAGAACAGTGTGCATGCTGGTTATGAACTGAGCTGATTGGGCTCAGGGACCAACATCAGGATCTTCCCAGCAGATAAAGGAACAGTGCTGATGCTGACAAGATGCCACCCTTAATGGGCCCAGTCCTAGGCTGTACACACAGTTGGTGCTCCTGCACCAATGTTATCTTTCTCTTTTGGTGCCCTGTTCATTGGGATGGGAGGCCACAGCAGTGCAGGATCAGGGATGAAGCCCACAGCAGGTGTGTGGATAGAGTAGATGAGGCAGGCGAGGGGGTACATGGTACACAGCACCCACAGACAGACCCAATAATAACCCTGGGAACCCTGAAGGCACTTGCCACACACTGCTTGGGATGTTCACAGCAGAGGAAAAGGACAGACAGTGCAGACATGGGGTGACAGAGTTGTAGCATTAGATAATGGGTCTCACCTGAGTGTCAACAGCACCTCACCCATCACTCCCCCACTGCAAACCTGTTCACAGTACGCAGCTTAAAATCCATGTTTCCTCCTCAGGTAGCCAGACACAATGTAGCTTGGTGCTGGCTAGCCAGGCCACTAAAGACCTGGTGTATTAAAAAGCTGTTTCTCCCTTTGCTCTGGATACCAGGGAGCTCTGGGCCAAATATTACTTCATCATGATGTTGATGAAACTCTCTATGTTATGTTGATATAGCTGAGTCCCCCGGCTCCAGTCTTACTGTCTATTTGGGACTCACAGACTACACTGCTTCCAGATTTTGGGGACCATGATGAACAGGCAGCCTGCCTTGTAAGTTTCCCTGAAGGTTTTATAATGGGTGGGATCCTGGTAACTATCCCTCCAGTTCCCAGCCTGATCCCAGCCCCACTCTTGATCTCTTCCTGTCCAAACTCAGAGCATCTGCCCGTCTTTCCCTTCCCCTCGTCTTTCCCTCCCCCTCTGCACTCCTGGCCAGGCTCCTGGCTGTGGACTAACCACGCATGTCTGGGCCCCAGGAAACCAGGGCAGCCAGGCACTGGGCTTCCGGCCAATGCCTCACACCTCTCTCCAGGGAGCCAGGGTGCAGCCTCTTCCTGGCAATCTTTCATGAGGTCACACTGCCATGGCCCATCTAGAATTCTCACAGTTCAGACCATGGTTGGAGGGGAAAGAGGCCAGCAGCTGGGGACCTGGTCCTGAAGAGAGGCCTGCAAGGGTCCTCCCTCCCCGAGTAATGACCTTGAGCAGGCACAGCCTACTTCTGAGCCAAGGTCTTTTCAGACAGAGTGAAGGGGCCTGTTGACTTCTGCCATCTGTGGAGCTCGAAGTCCAAGATGACTCTGACATGAAGCTTGGAGGCCAGGGCTCCCACACTCTGAGGCAGAGAATCAATAGCACCCGGATTCAGCTCCAGCCAGGGTAGGGTGGTAGCCATGGATTTTGACACTGGCTCCCACGCCAACCTGCCACATAAAAGATACTAAAGACCCCAGTTCCCAAAAGGAGCTTGCAGTGGCCTCCTGGACAAAGAAGTCATGGGCAGGCAGTGGTAGTCCAGTGTGGCCTGCAGTCAGGACTTTAAAATCTCATAGTTAACACTTTTGGAATCAGGGTAGGGGGCTGAAGTATGGCTCAGTGATAGAGTGCTTGCCTAACATGCACGAGGCCCTCAGTTCAATCCCAACAATCATAAAAAAATAAAAACCACCCCTCCTTGAAAAGCCCAAAGCAAAAAACAAAAACAAAAACAAAAAACTAGAAAAAAGAAAGAAATCTGAGAATATCATTTAATAATCAGCATCTGGCTTCTCTTGGAAAAGTGGGCACTGTGGTCATGCTGGGCCCAACTGTATAGCAACCAACCACATGGTCCACGTGGGAGGAAAAGGTCTTCTGCAATTCACCCAGACACCTCCACCTGCCCCCACCCAGGTCTTTATGTTCCCTGCTGGACCCTGGGGGAGTTTCAAACCCATTTTTAGCCCAAAGCTTTTCATTTACAAGAAGTCCTTAGAATAGCATCTCAGCCCACTCCAAAAACAGGTCAGAGTGAAGGGGCCTTAGTGGCCAGGACCAGGGCTGGTGTCCCCCGCCCACTAAAGTGATCCCAGCAGGGGCCTCTGAGGAGAGCACAGGCTGAAAGTCACTAATCTGCCCAAAGCCTCCAAGGGCAGCTCCCCCAGCTACTGTGCCTGGTCGAAGCCCACAAATCCCTTGTACTGTACCTTCAGCTCATTGAGATAGCGTCTTGTATGCACCACCAGCAGGTCCTCTTCCGAGGCCTCCCGCGCCTCCACCAGCATGCCATCCGACAGCAGCTTCTCCTCTGGAACCACAGAGCAAGCCCTTCCTATCGGCTGACTCCCAGGCCAGGCACAGCCCCCAGGCCCTCCCAAGATTTCAGGCTGGGTATTCTGAGAATGGCTGTCTCCTTAGGCCAGTGTGGCCAGTGGCTAGGCCCTATGCCTCTGAGTGTTGAGCCATGTTTTCTGCGCTGCTGACAGTCACCAGGTGACCTCAGGTACAACTGGATGACTTCCAGAAGCAGGTTACACAAGGAACAGGACTGCTCTCAAGGTAGAAAAGGTTCTTCTTCAACTCTCCCTCAACAGGTTGCTTAGGACATGGTGGCCTCTCCTCAGCCTCTTCCTGAGTCTTGCTCATCCCCCTTGCTAACCAAAGGACAGCAGTGGCTCACAGGCAGCACAAACCAGAGTCACTGTTTTCAGAGCACTGCATTCCTGCTGGAACCTTCTACTTATGGCAAGTAAAACTGCCTTTTCCCATATTGATAACACACAAATTTAAGTTAAAAAATCCCAAGGCTCAGTCATTTAAAAATATGCAGTAAAATCAATGGGCCAGTGGTGCAATGGATAAAAATATTCATTAAATATAGGAGTCAGTGGTATAGGGGAAATCAGGGTGTCTGAGTGCTTGCAGATGCCTAGTGTCTGTTTCCTGTATATGATTGCCAAAGATTTGCTTCACTTTGCAAAAGAAACTGAGGCTAAGAGAGCGCACTGCCCCAGAGTACTGTGAGACTGGGCCATGAAGCTCTGGATTCTAGAGAAATCAGAATATAGGGTCTATTTTCAATGAGTCATGCTCAGAAACCAACCAGTCCCATCCACTTCTACACAAAGGTCCAGGCAGGTGCTCCCTCCCACAGCATCCCATGACCTGTGACACCTCCAGACTGGGCCAGCTCCCTTCCTGCCAGGTCCTCCAAAGACCTCCCTGTGGTCCTGCCTCCCAACCCTCCTCATCCTCAGAGGAACAGTAGTAAAAAGGACTGGCTGCTTGCTCCCAGCTGAGGGAGATGTGGCACCCTTCTGTTGAGCCACTGGGAGAGGCAGGAGCCCAGGGGGTAGAGAAAGCACCAATAGGAAGCCGTTTGTGCAGGCAACAGATGTGCAAAGCTAGCGCCGCAGGCTCATACCAACACCACACATCACTTGTGTGCTTTCTACTCCATGTTTTTCTTTGGATGTCAGGCTGGTACCTACAGTAGAGGGGAAAGCTGTACCATTTGTCATAGATAGAAGGTCACCAGAGGAACAAAAACAAACCTAACAGAAACAGCTGTGTTATTAATGTCTAATTTGGTACTATTTTCTGCACGAAGCAGAGCTGGGGGCCCGCTCTAGATTTTTAGGAGGGGAGGGGAGGAGGAGTTCTAACTGGAGGGGGGGCCCGCACTGTGCTTAGCAGCCTGCCTCGAAAGACCCTTTAACAGCAGGGAAGAGGCAGTCTAGGGCTGGATTTGGATTAGGATGGTGGGATGGATGCAGAGATGGAGGAAGCAGATGCGGGTCTGAGCGGGTGCTTAGGACGGGGAGAAGAAATGGAGGGGGCAGATGCAAGTCTGAGGGGATGGTGAGGATAGGGAGATGCAGGGGGCAGATGCAAGCCTGTGCTTTCTTACCTTTCAGGAAGTTGATCACCTTGCCCCATTTTCCAGCATCAAAGGGGTGCAGCTTCTCCAGGCCCATGAAGGTGATGTTGTAACGTGGCGAGTACACGATGGGCCAGCGTTTCTCTGGTACATGCTGGTACAGCTGTGTTGCGTGCGGCCTTCGATGTGCAGAGAGACAGACGCAGATATGGAGGACAGCCTCCTTGTGGAAAGCAGTTTCCCCCTCCCCATTCACACCAGGAGATCGCTTAACACCAACAAGAATGACAACAGCTCCTTCCTGAGCCCTGGCTGGCTTTGCCTAAACCTGCTCCCAACACAATCCTCACAGCAGCTCTGGGGACCAGGTGTGCCCAAGGTCACATGCCAGTGCCAGGTGTATTCAGTAGTGCTGGCGCCAAGGCCCAAGGCCTGCACTGGGGAAGGCGGGAGGAGGGGGGCGGAATGTGGCTGTCTCACACGAGTCAGCGAAGCTGACATCTGCGAAGCTGGGAACAAAATGCGCTACGGGGGAGAGGGGCGTAGATCGTGACTGCAGGAGGCTGTGCCCTCGTCGCAGCCCTGCAGCCCACCTTGGTGCCCAGGGGAAGGGAGACCCACCGTTCGCCCTCCCGGTCTCCCAGCCCGCCCCACATGTCCCGCCGCGCCCACGGAGACCCCCAACACCTAGGCTTGGCCCCATGCATAAAACCCCGCACACTCACATCCCGCAGCCGGCCCTGCCTGCTCTGGCCGCCACTCCGCACCGGGAGGGGTGGGAGGGATGCAAGGGGCGGGGCCGGCGCAGAACACGCCTCCGTGGTGCTGGGAACTGGGGGTGGAGCTCTGGCCTGCAGCTGCGTCACAGACAACCGGACCGCGCCGGCCAAGAGGAGGCATCCAATAGAGTCCCGTCTGGGGGGTGTGGTCATGCGCAGCTCCGCCCGCATTCCCAGGGTAGAAATAAACAAGACACTTGTTTAGGTGGGGTGATTATGGGCTTCTCTGCGCCTTTGCGCCTTTGCGCCTTTGCGCCTTTGGCCTCAGTGTGGAAGTGGTGGATCTGTTCTAGGCCTACCATTCCCGATGTATATTCCCTCCTGGGCTGCAGCACTCCATTCCTGTACCATTTGTGGCTTCTTCACCATGGTATAAGCACTCTCTACTTGTCATAACATTCTTTGAACCTCAAGTTCACTATCTGTAGGACAGGCCTGGTGGTCCAGTCTTGTATATTTGAACATTTCTCTTGTCTCCATTCCCCCTACATCCTGACCCTAGAAGCTGACCGGCAGCTGGGGGTGTCTGTGTCTGGAACCTGGGAGGAAGCCCCAACAATAGAGCCCAGAAGAAAAGACAATGGGCCTCTGTTGGCCCAGCTGTCTCCATCAACCAAACAGGAGCAGCTGACCAGAGGGCTGCCAGGAGCTAGCATGGCAGCTGGGAGCCTAAAGGCTCCAGGGTCATATGAAGGGAACCAGCAACATTGTTTTTCAGGGGGTGGGGGCAGTGTGCCAGTGTGCATGTGTAGATCACAAAACAGCTCTGTGCAATTTTCTCCCTCCACCTTTGTGTGGGTTCCAGGGATTGAACTCAGGTGCTCTGGCCTGGGCACTGACAGCATGCATTTGCCAGCTGAGTCCTAGCGTGACAGGCTGACAGTTTTGAAGAGTGCCTTCGTTGTGTGTACTGTTAGATAAGTTTCAGAAAATATGGTGTAGATTATGAAAGATTCTGGGACACATTGTCCTTGGGAGTGTGAGGTCAGTCGGGAGTCACTGCATCAGCCATAGGTACTAGGGTGGAGCCAGAGGAGACAAACCCTTCAGTTCAGAGGACAAAGGCAATTCCTTGTTCTTAGAAGTTTGAGGGAGTTTTTATACCATGTGACCTAGCCTATTTGCTAGGAGTTACAGAGACTGAACCAAAGTAGATAAGGCCGTGAAGTTATAATTCAAAGCTGCTTTAGGCTTGTGCAGGAAGAGGGAACAGTGTTTGATTATCACAAACTAGGAGGGGTGTCTCCTTCATCTCTTTGTTATCACAAGGCTCCAGCCTATATTCAACCCAGACTGGGCATCTGCCAGCATCCTGGTCTAGGGAGGTTGAATCAGCTCTCTAGGCTTTTGCTGCTGCATTTAGAGATGAATAAGGTGATCCTGACTGTCCACCTTTTGGGACTCCAAAGATAACATCAGCTCTTGCTGACTGCCTGTCCTGTGCTAGGTCAGTCCCCAAAGCCTCATGCATATTGAACTCTAACCAACCCTGGAAGGCAAACTGTCCCCATTTTATACAAGTGAAACTGAGGCCAAAAAAAATAGAGTGAAGTCACTTGCCCAAATATCAGGGGTGTGGATAAATGTGTAAAATTTAGTGACAAAACAGCAACAAAAGCCCACATGTTATACTGCCAGAGAGGCTGGTTTCATCTCATGGGTTTGGGAAAGCAGCACAGGTGAGCATCAGTTCAGGAGAATAAGGGTCAGAGAATACAGCATCTAGGAGCTGAGGCCCAAGAGAGCAGAGTTGGTCTGAGAGTATGTCCTCAGTTTTGTTTCTGTGTCTGAGGAGGGAGGTAGTCTGAGGAACACTAGAGACTGTGAATCCCTTCAGTCTCTCACTGCAGGCTGGACCACCTGCACTGTTACAAATGTGAGAATGAGCTGTGTGATTTAAGCAGTTGAATTGGGGGGGCCTCTTTATTATAGCATCCTAGCACATCTGTTAAGACCCAGCAACAGGGCCACAGTGGTGCACACAGTAGGCAGAGAGCCTCTGCCAAGTCCATGGGAACGAGAAGGAACAAATCTTTTACTTTTTAAAATGTGTGTGGGTTTTTGCCTGCATGTATGTCTATGCACCACATGTATGTAGTGTCCATGGAAGCCAGAAAAGGATGTCGGATCCCCTGAAATTGAAGTTGCAGATAGTTATTAGCTACCATGTGGGTGCTAGGAATTGAACTCCAGGTCCTCTGGAATAACAGCAAGTGCTCTCACCCACTGAGTCATCTCTCCAGCCCCTAGGAAATGAGAGTCATAATTACTAAATGTTGTCTTGTTGTAAACTGTACAATTTGAGGTCCAGAGGCAGTGGTGGGACCTGGTTCACAGCAGTCTGAAAAGGGTGGGGTGCTGCTTCCACGAGGTGGCTTTACTTTTAGGACTGCATTTTTACAATGTCATTGTGATAAGACAGTGGTTTACCAAACATTGTATGTTTATTATCCTTTCCCTTTTACACCTGTAGTTCATATCATCTTAGGATATATTTCAATTAAAAGTGAACAAGAGCTGCAGGTGCAGCTCCGTGGTAGAGCACCAGACTTAGCATAGTCCTGGATGAGATAATATTCCCACCACCCTCCCTGTCCAACCCGAATGCAGAATTTCCTGTGCAGTATATAGGTGGTAGGGGTTGCAGGGCTCCCATGTGGAGCTTTCTGACAGCTGCCAAGCTCAAGCAGGGCTAAGCTGTGGGACTCCTGATTGACAGCCCATCCACCCCAGACTAAACTGACAGGAAGAGCTCCAAATACACCCGAGGCAGGGAAGAAGCCTGCAAATCCTCAAGGATGTTGCCCTGGCAACATCACCATAGCAACAACAGCAACCATTGGCTTTTGGACATTGCAGCAGTTTCTGGCGCAAGGGTGATCAGAGCATTGCTATGGCAACCAGAAACTGAGGGAACTAGGTTTGACAGCTCAGTGCCCACTTCCTTAACATTATGGTGAGGGACATGGGACGTGTCGACCTAATTGAGAACACCTTCAAGGTTTGGGTGGGCTTTCTCTTTCTTCTCTCAGGTTTGACAGCTGTACCCTGATTGGTCTCATTTTATACCTTACTTTCGTGTACATGCATTCAGCCAATCAGAACTCGGTTGGCCCTGTTGCTGAGCCAGAGGAACTCCAAAGGGGCCACTCTCTCCTTGAATGAAGTATGTCTCAGAATGGTAAAAGAAGGAAGGATCCAGAGTCTGGTTTCTAGAGGACTTCCACTCTGCCAGGGGGGGGGGGGGCTGGCTCTTTTAAGAAGGAAGACCAATTTGAGGACTTGCCAAAGATAGACCCACTGTGGATTCCTGGAGCCTGAGACAGCCTCCAAGACGCTACACCTGGGTCACATAGGAGCATTCCTTCCCGAAGCTGTTCCTAGCCTCTAAAAAACCTTTGCTCCTGCTATTCCTGCAGCTTTTATAGGTGCCTGGCAGTCTCATATCTACAAGCATGCTTTGTGGTGGACTGGCAGCCCCGAGGCACTCCAAGAGCTTTCAGTCTGTAACACTTGCGGACCACCTCAGCAATCTCTCAGTTGGCAACTCACACAGAGCTGTGGCATACGCTCCTTGGATGAACTTGCTGCCACCAAGAGTCCCAAGATCTTTATTTTCCTGTTTCAAGTTGTTACTCTTTCATGTAAGCAGCCTTCAAAAAGGTTTCCCTCACTCACATGGAGCGTAGTGGCTGTCTCCACTCTAAAGAGACTCTGGCCAGCTCGAGCATGGCGAACATGGCTCTGACAGGCCTCGCTCTTCTTCCCCTTCCCTCTGCCTTCCTAGAAAACCATTCGATTATATTTCTAAAGCTAGGCACCAAGGTCTATTCCCTTATTTGGCCACTTCCTCCTCCTGAGGCTGACCACCAAGGTCCAACTATCAAAGTATAGAAGTCCAGCAAATAAAAGCCCCATTTGGCTCACCTAATTAACATGCCCAATTAAAATATACCACCATATGCTAGCCCATTCTAACGCAGACCTCCCCATTTTTCTCTTCTTAAAAATTATACCTAAGGATGGTGATGATGCAAATATTTAATCCCAGCACTTGGGAGGTAGATGCAGGTGAATCTCTGTGAGTTTGAGGCCAGCCTGGTCTACAGAGTAAGTTCTTAAACAGCCAAGGATACACAGAGAAACCCTGTCTCAAAAAAATAAAAAAAGAACTACACCTGCAAGGTCATTTGCTGCTGTTTTTGTTTTTGTTTTTTGCCTGGGACAGAAAACAGCCACTTTAACTTTCCCTCCTCTCTGCTTAATAAAGGCTCTCTCTATGAAAAGGTATTTAGGTGTGATTTGTGCCTAATCCAGGGTCCAGGAGAGAACTCCCACTGTGTATGGGGGGGTCTCCTTCGGTTCTGTGACTCCGAGGGGGAGTAAGCCCCAG